AGTCTCGCAGCTCGAACTTTGAAGATCGCCCGACTCGTCCACCTCGCCCGACTCATCGACCTTCCCCGACGCCGGCCCCGCCGCGAGCTTATCGTCGGACATTTCCTCGAAGCACCCTTCGCAGCCCACTTGAGTTTCTGTCATGAGCACATACGTTCCTCTGGCCAGGGGCTTGTTGCACTTCCAGCAGGCGGCGTCGGGCATGGCCAGCAAGTAGTTGTCGGCGTACACCATCACGCCGAGCTCGCCCCTGCTGTTGTCTGCAATGAACTCCACCGAGTCGGACTCGGGCACAGCCTGCCGACGCTGCTGATCCGCCGTCGTCGTCTTGCCCGTATCTGTCCTCCTCCTCCTCCTCTTCCTCCTCCCTCCTCCTCCTCCTCCTCCTCCTCCCTCCTCCTTCCTCCCCCCCCTCCTCTCCTCCGCCTCCTCTTCCTCCTCCTCAATCCTCCTCCTCCTTTCTCTCCTACTCCCCCCTCCTCCTCCTTTCCTTCTCCTCCTCCTCCTCCCCCTCCTCCTCCTATTCCTCCTCCTCCTCCTTTCCTGCCTCCTCTCATCCCTTACTCTCCTCCCTCCTCCCTCCGCTCTTTTACTATGTCCTCCCATCGCCCTCGCCGCGCATTGCTATTCCCGATCCCCCCCCAGACCCGACAACCTGGCACTGGGGCATTGTAGGCCTTGGCCAGTTCATGAGAATATTGATCGCGTGAGGAGGGGTGCTCCAGATATCGCAATAGAAGGGAGGGGGTCTCATTTCGGGGGGGGTCTCTTCCAGGCTATCCTGGAGGGCCCGGGGAGATCTGGGGGCGATGATTTAGAAGGTTCCCCCACGGGGGGGTCTAAAACTTCTCGTCTGGGTGGGTTGAGACCCCCTCCCTTGCATTGCGAAATCTGGAGCATCCCCCGATCTCGGACTGCGCCGACAAGCGGCTTGCTGGAGGAGGAGGAGGAGGAGGAGGAGGAGGTAAGGAGGTAGGAGTAGGAGTAGGAGTAGGAGGAGGAGGAGGAGGAGGAGGAGGAGGAGGAGGAGGAAGAGGACAAGGATGATGAGGAGGAGGATCGCGCCTTCTCGGGCGTGGCGGGCGCCTCCAGCGCGGCCGCGGGCGTGGCGGGCGCCTCCAGCGCGGCCGCGGCCTCCGCCTCCGTGGCGGGCGCCTCCATGGCCTCCTCGGCCTCCTGGGCCTTCGTGGCGGGCGCCTCCAGCGCGGCCTGGGCCTCCTGGGCCTTCGTTGCGGGCGCCTCCAGCGCGGCCTCGGCCTCCTGGGCCTCCGTGGCGGGCGCCTCCTGCGCGGCCTCGGCCTCCTGGGCCGTGGCGGGCGCCTCCAGCGCGGCCTCGGGCGCGGCCTCCGTGGCGGGCGCCCATGGCCCCCTCGGCCTCGGGCGCGGCCTCGGGCGCGGCCTCCGTGGCGGGCGCCCCCAGCGCGGCCTCCGCGGCGGGCGCCTCGGGCGCGGCCTCCTTGGCCGTGGCGGGCGCCTCGGGCGCGGCCTCCGTGGCGGGCGCCCCCATGGCCTCCTCGGCCGCGACGGCGGCCTCCAGCGGCGGCGCCTCGATGGGGGAGGGGCGGAGGGGGCGCCGGGCAAGGGGCGCATGTTTGCCTGACCTTCCCCGCGCGATCCGTGCTGCAGTCGGAGGGGGAGGGGGGGGGAGGGGAGGAGGGGGAGGTGGGGGAGGGAGGGTGGAGGAGGAGGAGAGGAGGGAGGGGCGGGGGCACCCCAAAGAGGAGGAGCAGGAGGAGGAGAAGGAGGAGAAGGAGGGAGAAGGAGGAAAAGGAGGATAAGGGGGACCGGGGCCTTGACGAGGTATTTGCCCCCTCCGAGGTGGGCGGCGCCCTCCGCGTGCAGGACCGATCGGAAGAGGATTGGGGGAGGGGGCTGAGGCGGAGGCGGAGGAGGAGGAGGATGGGGGAGAGGGTTGATGATGATGATGATGATGGTGATGCTGATGATGATGATGAGAACGATGATGGTGATGATGATGGTGATGATGATGGTGATGTTGACGATGATGATGATGACGATGATTATGATGATGCTGATGATGATGACGACGATGACGATGATGGTGACGACGATGATGATGATGATGACGATGATGACGACCATGTTGGTGATCATTATGATGATGATGATGCTGATGATGATGATGCTGATTATGATTATGATGACGATGACGATGACGATGAGGATGATGATGAAGATGACGACGACGACGATGAGGAGGAGGAGGGAGAAGAGGAGGAATGATGGGGGGGAAGAGAGAGAGGCCGCGTCTTCTGCAGGGCACGGCTCTGCCGGGGCGCGGCGGGGGAGCAAGGGGGAGTTGGGCAGGCATGGCGGGGAAGGGAGGAGGAGGAAGAAGAGGGAGAGGAGGAGGAGGAGGAGGAGACAGAGAAGAAGGGGAGGAAGGAGGAAGGAGGAGGAGGACGAGGAGGAGGAGGACGAAGAGGAGGACGACGACGAGAAAGGAGAAGAGGAGGAGGAGAAGGACGAGGACGAAGAGGAGGGTGGAAGCAAGCGGGTCTGGGCATTCTTCGCGCGCGCTTGTCGCGGGCGCCGCGCCCTCGGCCTCGGGGCGCCCGCGCAGCTGTCTTCCGAGGCACCGGGGGAGGGGGGGGGCGAGGAGGCGGAGGAGGAGGAGGAGGAGGAGGAGGAGGAGGGGGAGGAGGAGGAGGAGGAAGAGGAGGAGGAGGAGGAGGAGGAGGATCACTGCCTACCGAGCCACCCCAACCCATCCCGAAGGCCCCAATCCGCCCCCATGTCCAGTGGGGGGGGCCTCCAGGAACATCGAAAAACACGATGGACTCGCACCTCCCCTAAACATGGCATTCGGGACTTCGGGTTGGGTTGGGGTGATCTGCTAGGTAGTCAGAAGGAGAATCCCAGGCGCCTCCTTGTCCTGAGAGTCCGCTCCCTCGTCGAGCACGATGGCGGCCGCCTGTCGGGGGCAGCGGCCAGCCCCGTCATCCCCCCCCCCCGCCCCCGCCTACATCCCTGCTCCTCACCTGCCCAGGTTCCATTCTTCCTCGGCACGACCGACGATTGAGCCGAGGGGGGTTGGGGCGGGTGAGTGAGGCGACGGAACCTGGACGAGCGAGATCGGGGATGAGGGAGGCGAGGGAGGCGAGGAAGGAGAAGTCAGCAGAGGGAGGACGGCGGAAGGGGGGAAGGATTATGGGATTGGCCAGTGCTCCGCCTCCGCGCCGGGCTCGCCGCCGCCCTCCTCGCCCTCCCCCATGAGGTCGAAGGCCGCCTCCGCCACCGCAATCTCGTTCGCGCCATCCTTTCGGCGGGCCCCCGCCCTACCTCGATCAACCCTCCCACCCTCCACCTCTCTAGGAGAAACGAGGAGAGGGCCGACTGGGGAGATCAGAGGACATCCGAGGACAAGGGTCGGGGCGTTGCTCTGGGGGACTACGGGTCGGGGCGGTTCGTTTGGAGGGGGGCCTCTGAGAAATAATCTCCAGCGCGCTTGTCGATGAGCGTCCCGCCGGGGTCGAAGCTGTCGAAGTCATCATCCTCCCTTTCCTCCTCCCTGTCCTCCTCCTTCTTCCTCTCCACCCTCCTCCTCCTCCTCCTGTCCTCGCCCTCCCCCTCCCACCCTCATCCCTGCCTCCTCCTCCGTCTTTCCTCATCCTCATCCGTTCCTACTCGCAATCCATTCCTCCTCCTCATCTTGCTCAACCCTTCCCCAATCCCACTCCCCTCCCCTTTCCGCGTGCTCCTCCTTGTGCTATTCACTTTCCTTTTCCCGTGGTTAGGAGGGTGGCCGCGCCCTCCCCTGTCGCCCTTGCGCCCCCCCCTCCCTCCGGATTGTCTGGATGGAGGGAGTGCGTTGAGGATCCCCTGATCTTCCTAGCCCCTCCCCATCTCCGGGGGTGCTGGGTTCCCCCACCTGATGGGAGCTGGGAGTGGTGGAATTTCCAGGGCTCCCCGTCCACTCCTCCGTCCAGACTCAGCCGCCTTCGCCCTCGCCCTGCCGTCTCCGGCTGCTCAGCGCGCCCTGGCCTCAAGGGGATCAGGTAGGACTGAGGCCGCGGAGGTGGGTCGAGGGCGGGGGCAGCGGCTTGAGCCACCGCGGCTTGAGTCACCGCGGCTTGAGCCACCGCGGCATCCCAGTGCTTCCCCTCCCCCCCCCTTCCGTCGGAAGAGGCCCGAGAGGAGTAGTGTGGAGGTGACCTCTGGGGCATCCCAGTGCTTCCCCTCCCCCCCCTCCCGTCGGAAGAGGCCCGAGAGGAGCCGTGCGAAGGTGACCTCCGGGGCATCTCAGCGCGCCCCCCTCTCTCCGGATGGTGCCCCCTCGCTTCTCGTCTGCCTCCTGCTCCCTTCTCCCTGCTCCTTCCTTCTGGGGCGAGGCCAGCGAGAGCGAGCCCAGGCCAGTCCGGGCCTGCCCATGCCTGCCCGGGCCAGCCCAGGCCAACCCAGGCCAGCAGAGGCCATCCGAGGCCAGCTCAGGCCAGCCCCGACCAGCCCAGGCCAGCCTGAGCCAGCCGCGGCCAGTCCGGGCCAGCCGAGGCCAGCCCGGGCCAGCCCAGGCCAGCCCAGGCCAGCCCAGGCCAGCCCATCCTTTTCTCCCTCTTCCCTCCTCCCTCCTCCCTCGTCCCCGTCCTCTCCTCCGTCCAGACTCAGTCGCCTTCGCCCTCGCCCTGCCGTCTCCGGTTGCTTAGTGCGTCCTGGCCCCAAGGGGGTCAGGTAGGACTGAGGCCGCGGAGGTGGGTCGGGGGTGGGGGCTGGGAGCGGATCCGGATGGTCTCCACCACCCACGCTGGCAGACTGCGGTATGCCTTGCAAGGACTGGATGGCTGACCCCAGGGCGGATCCCTTTTACAGCTCCCTGTCCGCACTCACGTGCGCTCACTCGGGAAACCCTTGGTGCAAGGTGGGATGCCCTCCATCCCCTGCTTCCCCTGGGATCGCCAGGGAGGTGGGGGTGCCCTCCTTCCACCAGAGCTGTTGTCCCCTGTGCGCGGATGTGGGAGCCGACTGAGGTCAGGCCGCGGCTGGTCCACCTCCCGGCTGCCCTCGGGGTGCTGCCCCTGCAGCCCTCAAAGAATGCCCGCAGTGGCCACCAGCCAGCCCTCCCCTTTCCGCGTGCTCCTCCTTGTGCTATTCACTTTCCTTTTCCCGTGGTTAGGAGGGTGGCCGCGACTACGACGACGACGACGATTACGACTACGACTACGACGACGACGACGACGACGACGACGACGACGGCGACGACGGCGACGACTGCGACGACAACGGCCCCCGTCACTACGGATACGACGATTACGACGACGACGACGACGGCGACGACGAGTAGGACGTTTGGAACCATTCTGTCATCCTTGGAGCTGCGCGCAGCATCCTCGTCGGCGCCGCCGACGTCGACCTTCGTCACCTTGCGTTTCTTGTCCGCTGGCTCCATCCGGGTCGCTGGGTCGAAAGCGGGCTCCATTTTCTGGTCAGGTCTGCCAGGCAAAGTCTTACGCCATGTCAGGAAAACCCGCTTCGCAATCTTCGCTTGGGCGTGTACCCAATGATTGTAACACGTGTTTCCAATCACCTGATCACCTGGAATGAGATGCATGAAATATTCGTCAACAGCACGCACGTACTGGGCGAACGACGGCAACTTCGGGCTCGCATGGTGACCGAGTAACTTGTGCATGCCGAACATGCGCGGCAAGTTGGGCGATGCACGAAACGACCCATCACTGTTTTGAACAATTACCTTGTGTTGTGTTTGCATCTGCGTTTGCAGTGGCTGTGTCTTATGTTCCTTCATTTTTTCCCAGAGCTCCCGAATGCACGGCTGCGCGCTGTCGGGCGACATCTTTGAAGACTGCGCAGCGGGCTTTCCTGCCATGGTGGTATGCAAATAAAACCCTCGACCGGACCTCAACCCGCAACGGCTGCCAGAGGGCTCGGCCAAGCGGAGAGCTCGGCCAAGCAGGGTCGACGTCATGCCGCGCGGGCAAGCACGGGCCACGAAACAGTGACGGGCACCCAGGCGAGAGCACAAATTCGTTTGCTAATATTATGTGTTTACCCCATGTTGTGTTTTGACTAACTTTGAATTGGTTTTGGTGTTTAGCGCTTGTCTGGCTTGTGATTGGTTGGGCGTGTTTTTGTTTGTTTTCTGTTTTCTGTTTGGCGAAAGGAGGGCCCACGGCCTGGCCCCCAGGGCGGCCCGCAGGCGTGCGAGCGCAGAAGTCATACAAAACCGATTCGAACATCGCGATCAACAACGGACCATCGGCGAATGGAAGAACATCCGCCGCCTCGCCCCACGGGCGGGCGGGCGCGCGAGTGAGGATTCGTTCGCGATTCAAGGAGGGCCGATCGGGAATCCGCGACCCGCGACGGGCAAAGGGGACATCAAAGGGAATCCGCCCCCTCGCCTCGCGGGCGGGCCTCGGGCGCGCGAGCGCAAGTTCACTCATCATACGGAACGCGGGCCGACGTGAAATCCGCGACCCACGACGGGCCGTCGGCGAATGTAAGCATGATGGCCGCGAACCGAACCGAGAACCGAAAACCGGGTCTGGAACCGAATCGGCCGAACCGAACCGGCCGGCCAAACCGAACCAGGCAAACCGAACCGGCCCGCTGTTCGAACCGAACTGGCCGAACCGAACCGGCGGAAACCGAACCGGCCGAACCGGACCGGACGGGCGGAACCGAACCGGCCGAACCGGACTGGACGGGCGGAACCGAACCGGCCGAACTGGAACCGAACGCGCTCGAACCTTGCCAGGCTTCAACCTTGAACGCCTGGGGGGGGCGAGCCTGGCGGACCGCTGGAAGGCGGGCCCTTTTGGCGGCCCCCCCGCGCGGGGGCAGGGGGCCGCCTCCGGGGTACCCGGGTCCCGAGGCACCACCCCGCCAATAATCAACCGCACGTTCCCCCGGTCCGGACTGGGCCCGGTCCGGACCCCTCCCGGTCCGGACCCTTCCGGTCCCGACCCTCCCCAGTCCGGACCCTCCCCGGTCCGGACCGCCCTGGTCCGGACCCTCCCCGGTCCGGACCCCCCCCGGTCTGGACACCCCCCGGTCCGGACCCCCCTCCCGTCTGGACCCCCCCCGGTCCGGACCCCCCCTGTCCGGACTGGGCCCGGTCCGGACCGGGCCCCGGACAGGATCCCCCCGGTCCGGACCCCCCTGGACCCTCCCGGTCCGGGACCCCCCCCCGGTCCTTACCCCCCCGGGTCAGGGCCCCCCCAGGTCCGGACCGGGCCTGGTCCGGACCCCCCCGGGTCCGGACCCCCCCCGGTCCGGACCCCCCCCGGTACGGACCCCCCCGGTCCGGACCTTTCCCAGTCCGAACCCCACCCCGGTCCGGACCGGGCGACCCCCCCCGGTGCGGACTCCTCCCAGGTCCGGACCCCCCCGGTCCGGACCCCCCCTGGTCCGGACCCCCCCGGTCCGGACCGGGCCCGGTCCGGACCCTCCCCGGTCTGGACCCCACCCGGTCCGGACCGGGCCCGGTCCGGACCCCCCCCGGTCCGGACCCCCGTCCGTCGTCGTGGTCCCCCGTCCGTCGTCGTGGCGGTGTTGACGCCGCCCGGACTGCCTGGGGGAGAGCACAAGGTACCGATACTGCTGGTCCCCGGACCTGCCCTGGGGAGCGTTCTGACCAGAAGTTCGAGGCGAATCCAGCGGCGGCGACGAGGGCCTCCCAGGAGGCTAAAAAAAAAACGGGATTATCCCGGCAAAGCAACCTAACAGCGATATGTAGAAGCATATCTGAAAGCATTCCCCTTAAGATTCAGATGAAAATCCAGTTGTAGAATTCTGCTGTTCTCGCAGTCGTACTCGAATTCGCGATGACAGTCGCAGCGGCAACGGCAGTCGCAGTCACAGCCTGCGCCTCAGCCTGCCTCAGCCTCAGCCTCAGCCTGCCTCAGCCTCAGCCTGCCTCAGCCTCAGCCTCAGCCTGCTTCAGCCTCAGCCTCAGTCTGCCTTCAGCCTCGGCCTCAGCCTCAGCCTGCCTCAGCCTCAGCCTGCATCAGCCTCAGCCTCAGCCTCAGCCTGCCTCAGCATCAGCCTGCCTCAGCCTCAGCCTGCCTCAGCCTCAGCCTCAGTCTGCTTCAGCCTCAGCCTCAGTCTGCCTTCAGCCTCGGCCTCAGCCTCAGCCTGCCTCAGCCTCAGCCTGCCTCGGCCGCAGCATCAGCCTGCCTCAGCATTCAAAATGTGGCCCAGGAATGGAGTTCTGGGAACTAGAAGAACACGAAGTGGCCTACAGTTGGCTCCGGGCATTCAAAATCTCCGGGCATTCAAAATCATGCCCAGGAACGGAGTTCTGGGAACTTGAAGAACACGAAGTGGCCTACAGTTGGCTCGGGGCATCCAAAATGTGGCCTGGGAGTGGAGTTCTGGGAAATCGAAGAGCACGAAGTGGCCTACAGTTGGCTCCGGGCATCCAAAATGGGGCCCGGGAATGGAGTTCTGGGAACTCGAAGAGCACGAAGTGGCCTACAGCTGGCTCCGGGCACCCAAAATGTAGCCCGGGAATGGAGTTCTGGGAGGTCGAAGAGCACGAAGTGTGTGACTGTTGACGAAAAACAAGCCCGGCTCTGTTCCCGGTTTTCCAAAAGGTGGCCCGGGAATGGAGTTCTGGGGGGTCGAAGAGCACGAAGTGTGTGACTGTTGGCGAAAAGCAAGCCCGGCTCTGTTCCCGGTTCTCCAGAATGTGGCCCGGGGATGGAGTTCTGGGAGGTCGAAGAGCACGAAGTGTGTGACTGTTGGCGAAAAACGATTCCCGGTTCTCCTCCCCGGCACCCGCCCAGACATTCTTGAGGAGTCATGATGCTCTCTTTTGAGCCTACTAGAAACCTGTCAGCAAACGCTGTTAGGGTAAAAGCGGAGGTATGGGTACCTCTTCCTCCTCCGAGGCCTCCTTGGAGAAATGCAATTGGGGACACGCCCGACCTAACCCTTGGACGCTCCCTTGGCCCGCGAGGGAGCACGGCCGAGGGTCAGCCTCCCGGCAGGTCTGCCGCCGCCCAGCGCGCGCCTGGTGGGCGTGTACTCTGGCGAAGAAGGAGGAGGAGGAGGAGGAGGAGGAGGAGGAGGAGGAGGAGGAGGAGGAGGACGAGGCCAGCCCGTTCGGCGTCTCGCGCGCTGCCCCAGCGGGGCCGCTGCAACGGCCGAGGTCCTCGTCCTCGTCCTTGTCCTCGTCCTCGTCCTCCTCCTCCTCGTCCTCCTCATCCTCCTTCTCCTCCTCCTCCTCCTCCTACTCCTCCTCCTCTTCCTCCTCCTCCTCCTCCTCCTCCCACCTCCCTCGCCCCCGCTGTCCCCCTCCCCATCGGGGCTGCCGATCGGGACGGCCTGGAATCGAAACGAATCGAAATCGGGCTGCCTCTGCATAAATTCGAACCGGCCGAACCAACCGAACCGAACCGGCCGAACCGGACCGGTCGAAACACTTAAAACCGAACCGGTCGAACCGAACCGGCCGAACCGAACCGGTCGAACCGAACCGGTCTACGACAAAGAACCGAACCCGTCGAACCGAACCGGTTTGCGACGCGAACCGGAACCGGTCGAACCGAACCAGCCGCACATCGAACCGAACCGGACCGGACCGAACCGCGGCTTTCATGTGTAAGGGAAACCGCCGCCGCGCCCCGCGGGCCAGCCATGGGCGCGCGAGCGCGAACCCCGCTATCTGAAGGAACGCGGCCAGGGCCGATTTGAAATCCGCGACCCCTGGCGGGCCTCTGCGGCGAATGAGGTGGACTCCGCCATTTTGCCCCGCGGAAGGGCCTGGCGGTTCCTTTTCAAACTGTGGCTCTCGTCATAGCACCGCCTTTATTCGGTCATACAATTTTGAAGAGTTTCACGGGTCCCCATGATCAGCGTACCAGAAATGGTGTTTTGGAAGGATTCAGGATTACGCGGGTGCAACAATTATATGGTTTCGCGGTGTTGAAGTCAGAACAATGGCGAAAGGGCCCCGACCGTCGTCGGGGGCGAGAAACCGATTAACTTCTGGCCTCTCTTCGCCAGCCGTGGCTAATGTCCGGGCGCTTGCGCGCCGCTTCGCCGCGATCTTCCGCGCTGGCCACGCGAATCGTGGTAGCACTGGGCCGCCCTCAGCGTTCCCCGCGCTTTCAAACGAGTTTGCATACTCATGGCCTATCGCCGGAAGATTGCGCTTGAAACGCGCAATGCAAAATCATAGTTTTTTTATCTGCGCGCCCACGCGAAGCGAGCGCCGACGATCGAAATCGCGCCTGGAACACACGCGGCACGCATGGATTCCGCACACAGCTTCACATCCGGGGGATTGGCATGAAACCTTCGGCGGAACATTGTTCCATGGCACGTTTTGAGACCCCCCCCCACGTTTTGTGACCAGTCGGGACCTCCAGGAAGACGTTCCTGCAGTCCGTCAACATGCAGGTACCCGACGGCGACGAGGATCTGCACGAGGCAGACAAGCGTGCGGGTGAGAAGCTCACGTGTTTCGCCAAGGAGCAGAAGTGTGTTGATAGTTGAGTTATGGTTCCTGCTTGTTGCGCTGATGATGCAGGCTCCCACGGTTAAGTCTTCTTCCCACACGCCCCTGGCCGAGCTGCTCGAAGCTGAGCAGCCAGCGCGAGGGGCAAATCCGAGCGTGAAATGCTGCCAGGAGCACCACTTCACCGAGGGCAGGCTTGGGCC